AACAGTTTTATTTTTTGTTGTGATGATGATAAGAAGCCTGAGAACGAGAAGGATAAGTATTTTGTAAGTAGCACCATATCAGAGGTTGTGGATATGATAATGGATGCAGTTGGGGAAAAGAAAGGCCTGAGAGAATTATTCCTGCCAGAAACCTATGACCGTCTGTTAAAGAGTATGCGAGTTCCGGATTGGGTGCTTTTGTACTTTAAATTGCAGACAAAGCTACCTGATGATGCATGGCAAACTTTATTAAATCTAACACACCTTGGAAGAAGTGGTGTAAGTACATTAAGATTTTACGTTTTGTTTTTCAATAAGGTTAAAAACTCATTTTAATACCACAAAATGCACCAGCCCCCCTTTCCTGTAAATAAACACCAGTTCCTTAGTCTCCCTCACAGCTTCTACTTGTGCCGTCATACAAAATTTTCCCCCCAAAGTAGCAGCTGCAAGGGTATTTTATTTTAAATGGAATCACTCAGAAGTTGCTTGTATGCTGAACTTGTATTTTATTTGTACTGAAATGTAAAGAATAATTAATTGAAGTTATGATCATATCTGCTTTATAGAATTCATTGGACAATGCTGTTCTCTTGACAAAAAATCAGATTAAGGCCATAAAAAAGATGATTTTCAACATCATAAAATCGACATTGAAAATAACAGAATTAGAAACAGACTTTCCATCATGTGGTGTCGACCTAAATTCTGTTTTGATTTGGGCTATAAGAGAGCAGCGATTGTATGGAGCTGACACCCCACATATGGAGTTCAATATCAAGATAGATGGACGACCCCTTGGAGGCAAAGATCAAATAGCTGTAGGGATTGTGCCCATTGACTTTGCAAAGAAAAGTCCAGAGAGTGCACTTTCGGTCTATCCAGTTGCAATTGCTAATTGCAAAGAAGAAAGGTGAATGAATGAAAAGCAAATTTAAAATAAACAGTAAAAACTGATAGAAGCATAAATTTTGCTCTCACAGGGCTTATTGAGAATGAGATTAAGCCTGCATCACTGTATATTTTGTCAGGAAGTTAACTTAGCCTTTGGCAACTATAAACTGGGGTATTGGGTATTAACATATTTTTTCTTGAGACAGGAGCAACATGAAGCAGTTAATAGGAATGCTGAACAAGCAAAAGAACTGGCTTAAACAACATGGACTATGTGTGGATGGGAAATCATACAATTTCAAGTTTACAGGTTCTTGTCTAAGTTATAGATAATAGCATTGTACACAGGTATTGGAATGTGTACAGCTCCTTACTGCTGTTTTCCATTTTTTTGCAACTCAGACATTCCAATGTCTAGTTGTGAAATGGGTTTTTCRCTGCTRCCAATCAAAATGTATTAGTCGGTGTCTCCTATGTTTGTGATTAGCAGCAGCTAAAAGATCCATTCCACAACTATCCATTCGAATGTCTGAGTTCGCAGAAAATGGAAAACCACAGTAATATATCTACAGTTTGATTATCAATTGCAACAGATAAGCAAAAAATTTGAAGTGTAAATTTCCAGATGCCTCTTTATATATGCATAGATAAATATTGCTAATGGTGGTTGGAATTTGCTAATCATTCATAACTCATTTTTTGTGCATGTATGGATATTTTTCAGTTACCCTTGATTATAAAGCTTTACTGCTGTTGATTCATAAAAAGGACGATGAATCGTTCACTCTAGGAGGCAAAGGATATGGTGTGGAATTTTGTGTCTTTTGTGATGCTGTCAGGGTAATGTCCAATAGCAGTGCAACATTTATGCACATAATGCTTTATGTTGATATACAATATTTTAAAATCTGTTAGGCCTGTACACATCATGGCGAAATTCCAAATCATGCTTGTGTTGATTGTTTAAGATCAAAAGCCAATATTGCAAGGTTGAGTATATTTGAATGATACCTTATTTCGTCTTCTCGCATGTTATGCACATTTGAAATAATACAATTTATTTGGCCTTGACATGGGTCTTTTTTTTTAAGGCCCACAGGTGTTCGTGACGATCTAACGTTCCTCTTGGAGGAGGATTTGTCAAACATCAACCTCTGCTCCCTGCACTGTGAGATGAGGAACATGGAGCAGCTTTTAGGTTCCTTGGGACTATTTTCACACCGTGTTGGTACTCTTGACCAGTTGAATAACATCCTTTCTCAATATGGGCCTGAGAACACCCGTGGAAGAACGCGAATTCAAGTAAAGGAGAAACCAGGTCAACAGACTGCAGTGGGAAGGCATAATATAAAGGTTGCTTCATTTTCAGGTGCAAATGAGTTATAATGCATTGATTAATTCCCACAATTTAATGCAAAATGTCAAAACTATTGTGTTCAAATTTAATTTGAACATATGGAAGGTTTTTGAAATAGGTGTATACATTTATTTTGACACAACTTAACAGAAATTGATATTACAATTGAAGATAAATGCTTGAATAGCCAACAAATAATGTTATTGTTTTTTCTTACTTAACACTGTAGGATGTACAGAGAGGCAATTTCTGGATAATGCTGAGAACATAGTAA